AAAAAAAACCAAAAAAATTTATATAAAAAAAAAAAAAAATATATATATATATATATATATATATATATATATATAATTGTTTATGCATATTCAGTATTTGCTTAGTTTTGGGATTACCAGTTTTAACATAGACGTGGCTATTGAGAAGTCAATAGAAACATTGTAAAAGCTGCAGTTCTGTGCTTTGTGCATATCAGTGAAGCAGCTGCAATAGCCTACACTTCACAGACAGGCACTACAAGTAGGAAATATACAAAAAGTATAATTAAACAGTAACTCTTTAAGCCTTTTTTTTATCATTTCGGTGACTGGTTTTGGAAAGTGCGATTTGACTGCTCAAGCAGCAACAATTGTTCCCAAATCAATGCCATATTATCTTCATATATATATATAATATATGAATATATATTATATAATTTATAATTTGCATATATATATATATATATATGCAAATTAATCACAGACCATATAAATAGCAAAGTATTATATTGGCATGTCAAAGTCAATAGATATGAGGATCAGGTAAATGTCCGAGTCTGTCTAGGGCAAAGAGTCCCATGCACCTGGACAAACGCTTATCACAATATGCTCAGTTCTTCGTCTCTCACAGTCAAAGAGTACAGTTACAGGTGGGATTTTAACAGATTTAAGATTATTAACTCTTTCAGTGTCATGTTAAACCTGGTGCACTTGCAAAATGACACATCAGATGTTCTGTAGTGTGCAGAATGCAGCTGCAACCAACTATTTTTTTTTTTGTCAAAATTCCTCTGAATGCAAAGTAGCAGCATTTTGGACTGAAAAATAAGTTTGTACGTCAAGTCAATTTGTTACCCTATAGCACATTTTTAACAATTTCCTCAACCAAAACAGAACTATGACGTTAAGCAAAAAACTGAGTATTACTGTTGAAATTGAGAGACATTTAGTCTTTCACAAAGCGTCACTGGGTCTTGGAGAGAGAAAATAATATCAGGTTTAATTATGGTGTTCATTAAGATTCGTTCTGCTGTACCAGCTGACTATAGACTATCATTCATTTGCTTGGCTCAGTCACTGGCGTTAAGTTAAATGCGCTATGCCAAGACATTAAACTATATCAAAAATTGTCCAAACAACATTTAGCACACTTAACATTAGGAAAGTACAAAATTTATAGCAACTTTTCAAAACAAAGAAAAGGTGTTGAACATACATTTTGTAGAATAGTAAATGTACCAGCTTGATGTTTGATAGTTGTGCTGTAATTTTTATTGCATGGATGATCATGGATACATGTGAAGTAAACCTGTCTGGAGCCCTGGCTGTGGCACTAATGATACTCCAATTGTTCTATCTCTGTATTTCTCTCAACTCTATTTCAGTGGCATCCATCTGGTTTTAAGACATACTCCTGGCTTCGATACTCCACTTTAGCATCATATACACTCAACACAGGTGGAGTAACTAATATTACCTCATCAAAAGCCATCATCTCTTAAACTTACAGAGATCCGTGAAAACTATTAGGCAAATCTTAAAACAAAAAGTCAAAGGGGGATTACAGTGTATGAAATAACCTTATGTTACACCACCACCTACTGTTTATCTGAAGAATTGCAATAATATTAATTGAGAGAGAACAGGCATTCTTACAATACATCAAGATCCAGTGGAATGGAGAAAAATCAAAAATAAAATAAACAAATATTAAATTCACACAAAATAATCCACCTCATCTCCTTTTAAGTAGACCAGCCACAAATTAAAATGTTTAAACCATTTTTTCTTATATCTCTGTTAAAATGTACTTTCAGAAATAAACTTGGTCACTCAAAAAAAAAAAAAAGAAAAAAAAAAAGGTATTTGACATTCAGAAAAAAAAAATATATATAGCACACTACATGACAAGCAACAATCCTGTTTTGCCACTCGGCCATAAGACAGAACACGAAACATGTCTGGCCTCTGCGGTCAGCATATAGAAATCCACCGTCTTTGATCAAAATAAATACATTAACAAATACAACTTATTTTGTGATGGGCAGATCATTCCGAGAAGCAGACTGAAAACCACAGCTGTAGTGTTCTTCAAATTTCCAGATCTACACACTTTACTCCTCTTGCTGACAGACTGTTCACACATACACTCAACACACACACATTCATAAAGTGTGCACGGAGTTGTGTGTGTTTTCGGATGTGCAGTCAACCTCTTTCACACGGCCCAACCACATCATTACAAGAACAGCAGAAGAGGCTGATGAAGTGTTGGCAATTGAACCCAAACCCGTACATAGCTGTGAAGAGCTGTTTTCTGGTTAATGTGTGTACATCTATAGCATGGCAAAAATTGAACTATACTATAAAAGTATTATGAAACCATTTCCATGTTGGATAATATTTTGGGGGTATTTTGTGTTTTTTTTTGGTTGTATCTCTTGTTTTCTTGTACAAATATTTGTATAATTTGCGTACATGACAAAAAAGAACCACTCTTCAGAAAAGAAAAAAAAAACATGCATAATTTCTCTTGTACTAATTACATTGTCAATTTTTTTTGTAGATATTTAAAAATCTTTGCACTTTTAATATAACCTTTTTTTTTGTAATTCAAGTTCTTTTTTTATTTCATTGTCCTCAGCGAGGCAAAAGTCCAGGGCTTCAGGTATTGCTCAAGTTGAATTCTCTCTCCTACATTCTCTGGTCCTCAACATCTCCAGTAGAGCAGAGCAGCTCCCATATGAGCAGTGAGCAGAAGCTGTGCAGAAGCCATGAGATCTGGCCTAAACTCTCCCACATGATTTCAATCCCATGGCCTACGCCCCACTTTAATCATTCTCCCCCCCTTTTTTTTTTTCCTTTTCCAGCTACAAAGTCACACGCATCCCTTAAACAGTGGGACAGGAGAGATAAATGACACCAGCAGCACCCTTCTGTGGTCAGAGACATTAAGAGCAGGTGTGAGTCTGCAAGAACAGCTCCCCCTATCTACAAAAGTCCTCATGCGCTACCTCACGCTGAGGTTTCCTCTTCTTCATGTTGAGTTTTTGGGACTTGCTGTTTTGCTGGATCTTGTTGGGGTTGTTGTGTGGCCCTTGAGCACTTTTGTTAGCAAGCTGTCGGCTCTGAATTAAAAAATAAAACAAAACAACAAAGATGATTTATATAAAACTCTTAACATGCTACGTTGTTTGTTAAAATCAGTTAACGTTATAACACTTTATTTTAAGGATCAGTTCTCACTTTTAACTAGTAGCTTATTAGCATGCATATTACTAGCATATTGGTTGTTTATTAGCACTTATTAGACACATATTAATGCCTTATTCTGCATGACCATATTCCAGATTCCTTAACCCAACCCCACTACCTTACTAACAATTAACAAGCAGCAAATTTAAAAGTTTATTGAGTGAAAGCTCTTAGTTAATAGCGAATGTGTTCCCTAATCTAAAGTGTTACCATAAATGCTTTAGATATCAAACTTAAAACTTTTTAAAGCATTTATTAATCTTGGTTATTTAAAAAATATACTGTTGTTTACATTGATACATTGATATTTGTTGGCAGTGTTCATTCATAATACATATGTTAATGTACACAGTCATGGTACACAATGCCAGGTTTACCAGAAAGCTGAATTAGGCAAAAGCAAAATAAATTAATAAAATAATAAAAAAGTAACTTGAAAATGCAACTTAAAATTCTAAAAATGTATTAGCAGACATTAAGATTAATAAATTCTGTATTACCACAGATTAATTCATGATAACCTGTTAAATCAATTTGTTAACTAATGCTAACAAATTGAATGTTACGGTAAAGTGATATGTATTACTGAGATATTTGAACCAATATGTCTCCATCATAAATGGAATCATAGTCACTTCCATCAGGTTCATACCTTGTTGCCTTTATTAGTGGGGGTGGCCATTGTTGCTGAATGATTTTGTGACCTGTGATTGGACAGATTCCTTTCTGTATTCTCACTGTAAGAGTTAGAGCCCCGGCCCAAAGCTTTTGAAGTCTTACAGGGCGTTCCATCAGAGTCCTGGAGAAAGCCAGTCAAAAAAAAAATATAAAGTTTTTTTTAATGCAAATAATATTTTACCAATAGTGTATACAAAATGTATTCAGTTGTATGCTAAAACAACATCTAATGCTATTTTTAGTGTAAGAAAATGTTTATGGTAAAAAACAGATGAATAGAAATAAGTGAAAGTTATTAATATTACCATATTTAATATGAAATAATGAATAGACAAACATGAAAACCTATATTAACATTTTATATATATACACACACACACACAGTATATATACATATATAATTAAATAATTAAAACAATTTATTGTCGTGTGCAAAATAACCAAATTATTAGTGAAAATATGACCCTCTCCTTTGTGCAGTCATTTATTTTAAACATATACTTGAAACTAGTAGCATAGAAAACATGCACATGGTGGCTTAGTTTCCTTTGTTGTTGCCTGTTCTTATGATAAAATTTGTGAATGCTAAAGAAGACCATGGTCTCTGTATGTGAACCGATTATTTTGTAGATATCTGTTGAAAAATGAAACTACATGAAACAATTGGGTGAGTGTGAGGGAATTAAAATAAATTAGTAAGTCAGAGTTGTGTTAATATATTTAACGTTTTGTTTAGACAAAAAATCTAAACAAATATGAAAAGTGCCCTTTTTTCCCCGACTTAAGCCCCTGCCCTTCAAAATGTCTGTGCACATCCCTGTGCGTGTGTGTGTGTGTGTGTGTGTGTATATATATATATATATATATATATATATATACCTACTACCCTCGTCTGTTTGATTCTGTAGATTTCTTCTAAATTAATCAAAACAAGCTATCTGCATATTTAAACATAACATTTCAAGGGAAAAGACTCTTGATGTAAGTCATTAACTAATAACTGGGGAAGTTATCTGGTGATAATGCTTTAGTTATTTTGTTTATCCTATTCATCTGCAATGTCTTGTGTCAAATGTATGCAAATTAGCACATTTTAATTACTTAATGCCTGATTTGCATATCAATGTGGCGATTCTGATGACGTCATTAATTTTACTGTATTCAGCTGTCCTTTCTCCATTAAGTTAGCCTGCATGCCCATGATATATTGACTTAGCTAAACTTTAGCTAACTTATTACATGGTAGCTCATGAGTCATGGATGTTAGCAAGACAAATTAACTATATTTGCCTTTTGTCTTTAAGATAATTAGCTGTAAATTCGAGGCACAGGTAGCTTAGTCCTTTGTTAATCACCACTCACCTCCACACCAAGACAAACACAACTGGAAAGGGAGGGAGGATCTAAAATTGGCATTTTATCAGGCTCCTATGTTTAGGTTCAGTAATTTTACTCTAATGGCAATGTAAACGTAATTTTCTGTTTACCAATTAAAGTGAAATAACTGAACAGAAATATAGGAAAATTTCAGATGACACTTAAGAGGCTTTTGCATCTGAACACTTCATTCGTATATATATATATATATATATAAATAAATAAACTTACCGCATCACTTGAGCTAGAGGCTGTTGAAGATGGCGATGACGATGATGGCGATGAAGGGGAAGAGGGGGAAGGAGAGGAAGAGTTTGATGACACTTTGCTCCGGGGAACAGCAGGAAGTACCGCACTATCTTCTGGAAAGTTATTATTACACTCATCAAGCTCCTCAGACTCAACTAGCCGTGTGACATCATTAGCTTTGGAGAAATAAAAAAGGGGATATTCAGCTTTCTAAAGTTAAAGACATATCAAAATGAGCTCAGGGATAATATCTTACCATTACAATTGAGGACCGGATCATTGTTGCTCCGCTGGCCCCACTGCGCACTGATCCAGTCACGGTACTCTGCTACTTCCTGTGTGACACGGATTATTCGACCTAGAATACTGTGGGGAAGAGATAAGACCAATCATGAATCCCATCCTGAGTAGGTCTTGATTTTACACACATACACAGGGTTGGTTATTTGGCAAAAAAACCACACAAAAAAAACACATTATTTGAAAATGATTTTCCTTGAAACTAACTAGTAACATATCTGCCCTTGCTATTAGCCCTTGACAGGCTCAGACTACAGATTATGGTGGGCTATTTGAAACGGCAATACCAGGAAAGGTTACTCACTATAATATGGTGCAAACACATGTAACATTTAGGATGCTTTTGATATCAAGTTTTGGTGGTTAGATTTGCCATTGACAGGGTACAAGATGACCTACAATTTAAAACATGAAATTTATGAAATAGTTTTGTTCAAAAGAAATAATAGTAAATTAAATACTAGGAAATTAATATAAAATAGGAAAAATACAAAGACAGTTTACTACAGAAAACTACAGTTCAGTTCAATTAACAACAACAAAATAAAATGCTCCAAGAACTGGTAACTTAAACAGGGTTCGTACAGATACTGCAAAATGAAATTCCAGGACTTTCAAGGTGTTTTCAAGCACTACTCTTTTGGTTTTCAAGGATTAAAATCAGATCTCACTTATCAAAAAATATTGTTATTGTCTTTCAAATTCTAATATATAAACTAATAAAACAAATGGTACAAATAAAGCGCAGCACATGCAAAGAGTGCAATGACTTTGGCAACTTTAGCATTTGAAAGGATACTATGGCAAAGTTATCGCTTTCCTTATTCAAACTGATTTTTTTTCACGAGTATATGATTGACCTGAAGAATGAAAGCTAGGCTATATCATACACTTGGAAAATTATGAGCTATATCACCGCTTATCGACACTAGGGGTGTGACAATAAACTTAGCTCACGAGATGAGTCAAAATGCATATACTTGGTTCAATAGAACGAGACAATGTTTTAATACTTTAAGAAATATTTGAATGACAAAATATTTGTCTTTTAATTACAAAAAGTAGAACAATGCAGTTATATTTTGAAATGTTTTAACAAATCTAGGGCTTAACTAACAATTATTCTGCTAATGAAGTAATCTACTGATTATTTTGAAAAGTATGTTTTAGTAATACAAATAGAACTAAGTGAAAAACAGGCTTTAATATGACTGTATTTACATATAAATTAACGATGAGGAAATAATAATTGGCTCAAATAAAGTATCAAAACCAAGTACATGGTTTTATTGAACAACTGTTAAATACATAATGTAATATGCCTATATTAAAACACATACCTGCAGAGGGCGCCAACGGCCTGGTGATGTTTCATGTGATTCAACGACATTTAAATCCATTTAATTGCAATATTTGGCCACATGCAAAGTGAGAAACTTTTATTTTGAAATTGTGATCTACAATAAATCGCATATTTAGAATTATGTTGATGTATTCTGTGTTGGCATAGGTTTACAAATGACTTAAGTTACAAATTAAGTGAGATAAGCACAGCTTTCCCAGATGAACGTTAAGCAACCCAAACTCACCGCATATGCAAAGGAAGAGTTAGCCCCTTTCACACATACAGTCTTCACTGGTAAATTCCCGTTAAGAGATCATGTGTGAACAGGACCTTTTCAAAACTACAGGTAAATTTGTTCTGCCAATCATATCATTCTTATGGAGATGACGTGATTACTCTGAGCTGTTTACAAAGCTCCGTTAATTATATAGAAAATAGCTTTTCTATATAAATATGGCTCTAGATGGAAATATTTGACCATTGCGCCTCGCAACTTTTTCAGAATGTTTCGCGCTCATCAGCTGCGACTCTGCAGTTGGATATTATTTTGCGCGTCTAATGTTTATAGGACCAAAAACGTCTGATTGGCTAGTAATGTTAGTTTGGTTGAGAGTGAAAGCTGTGCCTCTCATACATTGGTAGGCGAACTCATTAACTCGAACGTGATATCAACAAGGTTTTTTTTTATTTTTTTAATGTAGGAGGACTATCTTATTTTCCCGCAGCTAAACGCCACATGCCGGAGAATCGGCACGGTGCCAGAAAACTTTAAGCCCTGCCTTTGACTTCTCTCAATGTTTGTCTCAGTTTGAAGGGTTTTTTTTTACTTATGAAATTACAACTTAAATTGAGCACGCACGTCTCTATTACAGTTCTCTTTGTCTCACCTCTCAGACTTGTTGTTGGGGTAGTGCTTGGCAATTGGGGACACAGCGTGACTTAAGACAACGTAAGCGTAATCAAAAGCCTCTTTCACCTGCATCGCCCCATATGAACTTCGCCCTACATCATTTCCTATGACACAAACAAAAACAATGATAAAAACATCTTCCATACCATCTTTGGTGACATGTTTGTGTCAGTTGAGCTGTTCAAAGTGTGTGCATTAGGGTTTGTGTTTGTACCTGGTTGCAAAGGATCCTCAATGTAAAGCATAGAGGGCCTGTACCCATCCAGCATGCCTTTCTGCACTTCATCCTTGGCTAAGTACGAGCCACCGTCTTTGATCCTGATCCCCGTCTTCAGGTAGTTAAAATGCCGTCCGTACAGCTCAAAAAACTCGATCAACAGTACACCGAGGTTTGGGTTTGAACTACACACGTCCTCTCTGTTGTGCAGCTGGGAAAGAAAACAGCAATTATAATAGTAATTAAACTGTTGTATTAACAAAAAGCCTATGAGCAATTATCATTAAATGGGTAATTTTCACTCTTGAGGCAAATCTTATGAGGCATATACCTTTGATAACAAAAGCAAGCTGATATTCACAAAAAATGTTGAGTTGTGTGCATTTTAAGCTGTATTCTAATGTACACTGCTGTTACAGCTTTGTCTCTTATGCTCACGAAGGCTCTATAATACATACAGTAAAAACAGTAATATAGTGAAATATTATTACACAAATAACTGTTTTCTATTTTAATATACTTTAAAATGTCATTTATTTCTGTTAAGACAAAGCAGAATTTTCAGCAGCCGTTACTCCAGTCTTCAGTGTCACATGACCAACCGAAATCATTCAAATATGCTGATTTGGTGCTCAAAAAACATTTATTATTATCAACGTTGTGCACGGTGCAGATTAATAATTTAGTATAAACCGTAATCCTACTCTACAATGAGTAGAAAGAACAGCATTTGAAATAGAAATCTTTTGTAACAATGTAAAAAACATTTACTGTCACGGTGCAGTGCAGTATGCATGTTTTTAGAAGGATTTATTTTAGGGTACTGTGAGACAGTGTGTGTATTTGACGGAATATGTAGAAGTGTGTTACCTGTAAGAAGCTGACAACCATGAGGAACAGACTGTATGATCCGATTCCTCCCGTAAAAACCTCATTCAGCTCTCTCTGCAGTAAAAACTGCTTCAAAACCAGCACCAGGTACGGTAATACAGGAAATTGCTGAAACACATACACAAATACACACAAGTCAGAAAATAAATCTGCATAAAGTCAAGACTGCAACTAATGGCGCTTTTCCACTGCGTGGTACAACTCGGCTCGGCACGGCTCCGTACGGCACGGTTCGGCTCTGCACGGTTTGCGTTTCCACTGCAGTTCAGTACCGCTTTAGAGTGGGCGGGATTATTCACATGTCGTTATAGTTGCGCCGCCTCTACTACCACAACTCCTAAAAAAAAAAATTTCTTTCCGGTTCGCCCCATCAAGCTCTCGCTGGATCCGCTCCTCTGCTATCAACGAGAGGAACGTGTGTTCTTCCGCAACAGACAACAAAACTTTTAGGTTGTTAGAAAACCCCCAAAAAGTGAACCGTACCGAGCCGTACCACGCAGTGGAAAAGCGCCATAAAAGACTAAAAACCACCTCGCATTTAAATGATGCATATCAACTACAAATCATTCTTCAAGATTAAAGATACATTCCTAGAATACATTCTCACACAAACTCTTGTACAGCAACAGGAGAGTTTATCCTTGATAACATATCATCAAAGCATGTGGAGGAAGAGTATGCAGACATTTTTATGCTGATTTGCACAGAAAGGGAAAAAAGAACATGAACAATTAGGTGCTTGGGAGATTTTTCACTTTTTGAGATGTTGAAAATCCAGTTCAAATGAGTTTCTAAAACTTAAACGGCTCCATCTGAAATCAGCATTTCTGTTTCCCTCTTAATTTATCGCTTGAGTTGAAAGAGGACTTAAAAAAAAAAAAAAATCCACACTCACCTGCTTGAAGTCCTTGATGAGGTTTGCAGCTTTAACACCATTCTGTACGTTAAAGCTGATGTCCACTTTTACCTCTGTGTGCAAGTCTGTCAGTTTAATGATGGGGACCTACAAACACACAGTGCGTTAAAGCACAAGCAGGGATGTCTGACAGACATCAAAAACAGCCAACGCATGTGTATGACACAGCGGTGCTGCACCAGAGTATATTTTGAATTAGTTTATGGGTTTTACATGTGTATATTAAACTAAACTGTATCAACAACTAGCATACTTGTGTATTGGCACAGACAGATTTATTCCACTAAGCCACAGTTCAGTAATCCAGGTGGTGTATAAACACAGTATGACTGGTGTGAGTGACGTGAGACTGGCGTAAAAAAAAAAATTTGCACACACTCGGGATCACAGGATAAGCAGAGCTAAAATTACAAATCTTAATCCCTTCTTTGCAAGCACACAAAAAGTACACATACACACACAAACACGTCTACATGTCACAATGCTTGCATTACACAATTACAAAAATTACAAAAAGACAATTTTAGAACATATGAATTTTGTGCTGAGTGGAAAAAATGCAGCAAGAGCAAAAAAAATATATATATATCATATTACCTTGTAGGTAAATACAAGCCTGTGCTAAAGCTGCCAAACACTTGAACCTGAAACAGAAAATATAAAAACAGGTTAAATCTGCCCTTATAAGAATCTACCTATGAAACCATTAGTCCCAACACCCATCCTGTATTCATATTTAAATCAGGAAAGATCTGTAACATGCAAATCAGACACAAATATTCCCACGAGACACTCTGATGTATGAGTACATTAGTAAAATAATCAATAGTATAGTATGAGGTCACATCTTTCTCGCGAGTTTCAGTCCAAGTGTTTTTGCAAGTAATGATGCCAGGTGCCAATCCAATGACCAGGGTTGAATTCGCACATGCCTGCCAAACTGGCAGTCATCCTTACTCATGCACATATAGCTTGCTGCTGCAGGTGGTTCCATCATTTTGGACATTTGCAGAGTCTGCCCATGACTTAGGTAATGACTCCAATAGACTTCCCGTAGCTCAAACATGGCGCTAACAATGGCAAGGTCATGGGTTTGATTTCCAGGGATTGCAAGAACTGACATAACATACACAATATATGCAATGTAAGGTGCTTTTGGATAAAAGTGTGGCAAAATACATAAATGTAAATAAGAAAAAAAAATATTCCTACATAGAAGCATCAGAAAATTTCGGAGGAGACAGGCCACTTAGGACGTGTTCACACCTGGCTCCTTTGGAGCGTTTGTTTCGGAACCTGGCGCATTTTCTCCCTTAAAGCGGTTCTATTAGGTATTAGGGCTGTGTATCAACAGCAAAGTCACGATACGATACGTATCACGATACAGAGGCCACGATATGATATGTATCACGATACGGGACTGCACTGAATTTCACCTCAAAAGAATTTAGTAAAACAGCTGTTTATTAATTAGGGCTTTTTCAGTCAACATTTTTATTGCTGAAATTGCATATATTAATAACTGTGAAAACTAAAATTCAAAATGCAAATACAAATATATAAAAATATAAAAATCAATTTCAAATTACTTTAAAAAAGGTAAACATAGTACAACCAAAAACGAAGACATAAATCAGAATAATAGTAATAAAAAAATTATAATAAGACCTAAACATTGTGAAACTTAACTTTCAAGTTTCAGCCTAACTACAGCTCAGGCATGACATAAGCCTTTACAGTCTTCTTTGCTTTGAAGCTAATGTGGAACAAAAACAAGACCTGTCTGTAATTATCCAGAAACCCTAAACACCTTGATTAACTGCTTCAACACCTAATTCAAGTATTAATAAAATTGGGAGTCAATTATCTACTTCAGGTTCTGTTTGGCTCAGAGCTGTCTAGAATTTTATATTAATTACGGTTTTATTTAAAACAAACTTTTTATGTAATGCAACCTCTTCAGTTAGTAAAAGGATAGGCTATATATATGAACATATATATATATGAATTGGCAGGTGAATGTGCTAAGGAGACCAAAGGAAAGTTAGATATAGATATGAAAGTAAATTGTTAAGACTGAGATGAAGTTAATAAAACAATGTGAAAAGTACATGGCAGAAACAATGTGAGGAAGAAAGAACAGGAAGATGGCATTATAACATCCAAAGAAATGCTGGTAAAGGTAGAGTAACTAGGAGAAATAGAAAAGAAGATTCAATTACTTCTAGACTTGGATTTGAGCATACATTTAGTAGGCTACCTTTAAAAAAATGGGGAAACATGAGGCAGGAAAATGTGCACATTGTGTTCAAAAACGGCACGTTACAATGAAACATGTTGTTACATGTATTTAAGTTATATATTAAGATCTATGTTCTCTAAGATCTATCTTTATTACCAAAAAATATATAAATAAATAAAATCTTCAGTAGATGATTAACAAAATAATCGTTACTGACAGTCCTAGTTAAAACATTTGAAAATGTTGCATTTGCATTGTTTTGCATGATTAAAATATTATTTTCCTGTCATATATTTTGTCATTGATTTCTTGAAAATAATAGGCTATTCAAATACTTTATGGTCACCTTCTCCTGAAAACAATATAGACTATAAAATTCTTACCAATAATTTATATACCTAAAACACCTAAAGTTAAAGCTCAGAATGACACATTCCAGAATATTATGTTTATAGATTATAAGTTTATATTTGAAGGTGTTGTAAATAATCGTCAACATAACATAAAATTGCGACTTTGATGGTGTATAATTTGCACAGTCATTAATCTCCAAGAGAAAGTGAATGAATTATTATTTTTTTAATTATTATGTTTGTAAACAGTACAGAGATGACATTAATGACATACAACTTTGCAATACACAATTTGTATCAAGGATATATTCAATGTCATCAGAACACAGGAAAGTAAAATAAATCAAGTTAATGATTGATAATAAAGATAACAAAGAAAATAAGAAAACCTAGGGAAAAAAACGCGTCTGTGTTGCGATGTACTTCTCTACGGCGTTGGTGTCACGCGTCTGTGTTGCAACGTATTTCTCTACGGCGTTGACGTATCCCTTCTCACACGCAAAAAGTACACGACTGTCTACTTCGGTAGGTTATCCATGGCACGATCCACTCCTCATAGAACACTGCTGGGCAGCGCGGCATATATTTTCGGCCGCCGAAAATTCAGTGCATCCCTAGTAAATGGACTAAACGATTCTTCGAAGCACATAATTTGCCTCGATGATTTTTTTGTATTCGAGTTACTCAAGGAATCGTTTCAGCCCTATTATTAATCACTGCATACTATAGTGCTGTGGCTAACTATAGGCAGAACAGGCAGTTTACCTCTGCATTATGAAGGGTCTCCATAACTATACCACAGTACAATATAGGTAATGGCATATGTTTCATGTTTACATTGGGCACTCCCCAACAATATTCTGATTGTTTGCATCTTGTTTTTAAGCCCATAAATAATAATGTACTTGTTCTAATAAATTTATATTGTAATGTACTCATTCTAATATATTTCAAATTAATAGGGATGCTCCGATCTGCCTTTTTCGCCTCCGATACCGATACCTAGGGTTCGGTATTGGCCGATACCGATCCGATACATTGAATTTTTTTCCCCTCATTTAAATAAATGTAGAATTTATATATCTCTGTGTGTGGAACTGATAATCATTCTTTCACAATCTACTAGATACAGACTACTTCATTATAAAGAAAAATAAAATAAACAATAAATATGAAAAAATATAGGCCTATGTACATTTATAATCTATGACAAAAATGTATCGAAGCGCTTACAATGTGCGCATCCGGTGTGCAGAATTATGCACTTGAAGCAACATGAAGTCAAAGCCTGACGCTGTGTTGCTTCAAGCGCATCATTCCGCACACTGGATGCGCACATTGTAAGCGCTTCGTGTTAAAAACCGCAAAGCACAAAGGGAAGAGAAATTGATGCGTAGTGTATTATATCTGTGCAACAGTTATTGAGCCTTTCTTTTAACAGTTTTAAATTTCAGTTACTGAAATTATTTATATATAAAAAACTATTTATAGTCTTTTCTACGCCCGTGTTTTGTTCTCACAGACACCCGGTAGCAAGTAACAAAACAACATTAAACTCCGGCAAGAAGATGAAGTTATTTTTTGCAAAATCATAGACATGTATTTACAAATCAAGTATAATGGGAACACAGAATGATCTTGGAGAGAGCTTTACCGAGCGGACTGCTGTAACCGAACGCGACCAGGGTTTAAAGGCTGAACGAATGACTGACAGCCACAGCAGAGAAAAGAGTTTGTGTGAACTTTAATGTAAGGACTTAAATATTCATATGTAGCTCACATTAAGCTATCGTGTGGCTTCAGAAGTAACACAGAATAATTCGCACAATCGGGAAAAAAATTTATAAAAAATCTTGGATTTGGATCGGCCCTCTCTGACCTCTCACTGATACCCGATCCGAGAAAAATGGTACTATCGGAGCCGATACCCGATATGAATATCAGATCGGCGCATCCCTATAAATTAACACACTCTCTACATTTAAAAAAAAAAAAAAAAAAGAGAAGAGTTCTAAACGAATGCGCTGTCTTCATTGTACCTCACGAACACGTTTATTGTTTAGTCACTCACGCTGCGCGTGCACACAGCATTCTTTTTAGCGCTGCCACGCAATTTTATCAATAAAATAGCTTAATCGCTGAAGAGCTAAATTATATTTTTCAACAAGGAGCTGGTAACATCATCGTTTCTAAAGCAATTAAAGCCACAGATTCACCGTTAATAGAGAAACACGGCAAAAAGTTGGTAATATATACATACACAGCCTCTCTCTCTCTCCTTCTCACTGTCTCTCATAAATGAACACTTGATGAATCACACTTTTCTGAGAATAGAATATTTAAGTGGAGATCGCTAAACTGCAAACTAACCAGTGTTTTCAGAAAGCAAACATGTTCATCCACAGTGAAGAGAGAGCACGTACACATGGTTGCCAGATTGACAAAAACAAGTAACAAACTTGGCAGATATTTCCGTATTGTGCAAGT